ACCCAATCATAATCCTCGGTGATTTTAATGGTCATAATAGCCTGTGGGGCTCTCCCAACACAGACGAGAGATGAAGACGTATTGAGAAATTTATAGATAAAAATAACTTGTGCCTTTTTAACAATAATACCCCTACCTATTTACACCCTGCTACAGGCTCTCGTACCCACATTGATCTATCATTATGCCATCCTTCCATTCTACTTGATTATGACTGAAAGGTAAATAATGATCTTTGTGGGAGTGACTACTTCCCAATTTTTCTTAAGAATATTGGTACTCCTCTTGATAATCCTCTACCTCGATGGAATATGCACAAAGCATATTGGGTCCAATTCCAACACATGTGCATTGAAAAACTAACCACAGAAAATTTTACCAACCTCGACGACCCAATCGAAAACTTTTACTGAAACACTCACTTCTATTGCCCAAAAGACAATTTCAAAATCCGCTCCAAAACCTACGAAGTTCCTTTTATCAGAAGAATCTTTTGAAACACGCAGTAATCGGGCAGCTGCTCTAAGACGCTACTTGAATTGCCCAACTGCTTCAAACTACAGTGATTTTAAAATTTGGCGGACAAAGGCTCGGCGATCAATTTATATACAACTAAAACACGATAAACAGTTATCTGTTTATTACACATGTTAGCAAAAACATGAATAAGATACACTGAGAAGTACATGTATACATTATCAACATTTGGCATATCAGGGGCTACTCACTCTACTTGCTTAACATACCCTTAATACAACTTAAACTTAAAATTTAACATCAAGACTCCAAAACGACACCTAGAGAAGAGGCTTGACTCTGCCGAACTCCAGAGAAGCAACTTGACTCTTAAGTATTTATGGAAAAGATGAGAAATAGAATACTTTTACCCTAAAGAAGAAGCTTGACTCTACTGAACTGCAGAGAAGCGACTCGACTCTAAGACTTGAAATAGAATAGACCTAGAAAAAAAGCTTGACTCTACTGAGCTGCAGAGAAGCGACTCGACTCTAAGACTTGAAATAGAATAGACCTAGAAAAGAAGCTTGACTCTACTGAGCTGCAGAGAAGCGACTTGACTCTAAGTATTCCTGGAGATGATGATACATATAAAGAAGCTACTGACATAGTAAATGAATAATATTTAAATTAATAAAGTATTGGGGGTAAAATTCCACTGGAATTAAAAGCCTGGAATTAAAACCTGAGTTAAAGAATAAATTACAAAGAGTGAGTAGCCCACCTAACAATATAAGGAACAATATACAGGAAGAAACAGGTGACCTGTTTGTGAAGAAAAATGGTTTGTGAAGAAAAATGAATAAATAAAAGTACATCAAATGTGAATCTGGGGACGGTGGGTGGGTGCGTATAAACAAACGATGATAATCCGCCAAAAACAAAGAATGAATAGGATGCTGTCAATACTAATACCCCTCTAGGGGATAATGCCGATTGGTCAAAATCTACCCCACTCATAAATATATCAACAACTTGCATAGAGATATGACTAGCTATATAGCTACGTATCAAGATGCATATGGACACAACACAGGAAATAGACCTGCCAAAGCATACATTCTTGTAATAAGCAACACAAAGAAAAGATACAAAATGTACATGAACATTTAAGTGCATTTTTTAACATCATAAATTCATGACTAAACAAAACATACAGTAAACAAGCCATGCATGTAGAAGTACATATAGTTGTATACAAACTATAATCTAACATTTAACATGTCAAATTATCATTTTATATACAACTAAAACACGATAAACAGTTATCTGTTTATTACACTTGTTAGCAAAAACATGAATAAGATACACTGAGAAGTACATGTTCATGTATACATTATTAACATTTGGCATATCAGGGGCTACTCACTCTACTTGCTTAACATACCCTTAATACAACTTAAACTTAAAATTTAACATCAAGACTCCAAAACGACACCTAGAGAAGAGGCTTGACTCTGCCGAACTCCAGAGAAGCAACTTGACTCTTAAGTATTTATGGAAAAGATGAGAAATAGAATACTTTTACCCTAAAGAAGAAGCTTGACTCTACTGAACTGCAGAGAAGCGACTCGACTCTAAGACTTGAAATAGAATAGACCTAGAGAAGAAGCTTGACTCTACTGAGCTGCAGAGAAGCGACTTGACTCTAAGTATTCCTGGAGATGATGATACATATATAGGAGCTACTGACATAGTAAATGAATAATATTTAAATCAATAAAGTATTGGGGGTAAAATTCCACTGGAATTAAAAGCCAAAATTGAACGAAATATGTAATACAGATGATATGGATTACTAATGAGTGAGAGCCCCCAATATAATAATAACACGTCCTCCAAAAAAGTATGGGATATGATTTGGAAAACAAGTGGGAAAAAGAAAAAGTCAACATCCTCCCACCTCATTAATAAAAACATTTTTTTTTCGTCTAGGTCTGAAATTGCTGATGCATTTGCAAAAAAAAAAGTTTACGCTTCCGGATATATTCCCGATTCGTGGAAGAACTCGACAATTATACCTATCCCAAAACCGGGAAAGAATGCTACTGAGCCAAACAACTATCGTCCTATTTCTCTGACTAGTTGTGTATGTAAAACTTTAGAACGAATGATAAACACAAGACTAGTTTGGTTTCTTGAGGCCAACGATATAATATCCCCTCTTCAAAATGGTTTTAGAAACAGAAGAGGGATAAATGACCATCTCATCAGATTAGAGACATTCATTCGAGAGGCTTTCGCCAAGAAGGAACACCTTGTCGCCGTGTTCTTTTATCTTGAGAAGGTCTATGATACTACATGGCAGTATGGCATCATGAAAGATCTTCACGGCATTGGCGTACGTGGAAACCTTCCCAATTTTATATCTAATTACCTATCAGATAGACATTTCAAAGTCCGTGTTGGTTCAACTTTTTCTGAAACGTCTAAACAGGAAATGGGAGTCCCACAGGGTGAAATCCTATCAGTCACCCTGTTTGGCCTTAAAATCAATGATATAGTCAAATGTCTTGGTCAATCAACAGAAGGGTCGTTGTTTGTGGATGACTTCTTGATCTGTTACAGATCTAAGAACATGCACACGGTAGAACAACAAACAAACTACAAAATTAGGCAGACGAAAACGGCTTCAAATTCACTAAATCTAAAACTGTGTGCATGCATTTCTGTCAAAAACGAAAAGCACACAATGACCCAAATCTAACACTCGATGGTACTAGAATTCCTGTTGTTGAACAGACTAAATTTCTGGGCCTCATTCTTTATTCTTTCATACCACATATAAAGTATCTGCAGGATAAGTGTTCCAAGGCGTTAAACATTATACGAGTCCTTTCTCATTCTGATTGGGGAGCGGACCGTGAAATGCTTTTGCGCCTATACAGATCACTTATTCGAACAAAACTGGATTATGGTTCTATGGTATACGGGTCGGCGCGCAGTTCGTACCTGCAGATGTTAGACCCAATCCATAACCAAGGGCTACGTCTAGCCCTTGGAGCTTTTCGAACACCTGTAAAAAGCCTGTACGTGGAAGCAAATGAATCATCCCTTTATGACAGAAGAAAAAACCTGCATTACAGTTTGCAGCTCAATTAAGATCGAACCCTAAAAATCATGCTTTCGACCAAGTATTCAACCCAAAATACCAAAACATATTTACGCAAAACCAAAAACTTCTGCCAACATTTGGTATCCTAATTTCAAGTTTCCTGCATTAACTCAACATAAAGTTGACAGACATAGCTGAATTTAACATATCTGATGTTCCTCTGTGGACCATTCAAACACCTGATTTTAACTTTACATTACATGAGCGAGGGAAATCAAGTGTTATGCCCGAAGAACACAAATCCTCCTTTCGGGAATGCATTTCGAATTACCCTTCTCATACACAACTATACACCGATGGTTCCAAAGAAGGTGAGAAAGTGTGAGCAGCCTGCTGCACTGCTAATTCTTGCACTTCAGTTCGACTACCAGACGGCGCCTCCATCTTTTCTTCCGAAGCATGCGCCAATGGTTTGGCCCTCGACCATATCGATGAATACCGCATTAAAAAGGCAATCATATGATCAGACTCTCTATCTGTCCTACAGAGTTTACAGTTACGAGATCCTAAAAACCCTCTCATACAAAACCTTGCTCTTCGAATATCTCGTATCTTAAATAAGTCAAAAATAACTTTACTATGGATTCCGAGCCATGTCGGAATTAAAGGCAATGCATATGTTGACAGGGAAGCAAAAAATGCATTCAATCTCCAACAAACAAATATCAAACTACCATACACAGATTTTAAACCTACTATTCGTACAGCCATTCAAAATGAATGGCAGCAACGCTGGTCTCGAGAGACCACCAAAAAACTTTGTAAAGTACAACCGAACCTGAATAAAACATCTATTCCCAGTCGGAAAGATCGTAGAGAGGAAGTTGTCCTCGCTCGGCTCCGTACTGGGCACACATATCCTACTCATTCGTACCTTTTAAAACGAGAAGATCTACCTTCATGCCAACGTGACGCATATGACACTCCATTTACAGTGGAACATTTTTTAATAGAATGTTTCGATTTTAAACACATTCGTGATAACTCCTTTCGAGTCCCCGATATGAAAACTCTTTTCAGTTCCGTGGACTCGAAGGCATTATTTAACTATTTGAAAGACATCGGTCTATTCTATAGACTCTGATGTCTTTTAACCCACCTTACCCTTTTGGACGTTATATATATCACATATTCCATATCATCTATTCGTTATCTCTTTTATTATTTTAACCCTCTTTTTATTTTTAATTATCTACACAAACAATGCGAATGCTTTTAAAATGGACATGATATTTACACAGAGTTACGCCTCATCAGAGACGTATATATTCTCATCAGGTTTAATTTCATGGTATTGCCCGCAAATTTTCTTCTCGTGACGAGTTGTTTCCCTTGAAAAGAATCTCTTGTATATTGAGTTAGGAAACGTGTCATCAACAAATCCCATGGTGCACTTACCTTCATAAACGAGAAAGCTTTTCGGTCTAAACCTGCACTGTGTATGTCAAATACGTGTGAACTTTGATGATGATTGTTTCACGACGAAGAAGAACTACGGGAAAGACTTTATTTAAGTGTTGAAACAGTCGATTTTCTGTTGTGAGTGTCTGAGTGACCAAGAATAGAAAATGGATTGGACAGCGATCGCGATGAAACAACGAAGGAATTTGTCATGATTAGATGGATCGCTGTGCCTGTGGATCGGACATGTTAACAATGAAGCTATCTATACTCCATGGATATAATCTAAATATATCACAATATATGAATACTGCCATTCCAACTAAATTTTCCATTAAAACACTTAAAACAAAGACTACCCTGGTTGAGATTTTAAAATCGTCATCCAACTAAGATTTCATCAGTTCATCGGCAATTTCTCAATATCATTTGCAGTTAGCAACAGAACATGGCATAAGTAATGTGACATTTTTATTAACAAGAATTGTAATTTTTAATTTTTGTAATTTCACAATAATAAATTGAAACCTGCAGTGAACTGACAGCAATCACTCATCATGGCCCATGGTAACGGACTTGAAATGTTTGACCTTATCAAGCAGATAGGAAAAGGAAGCTATGGTGAAGTGACATTGGCTCGACATAAAAGAGACAAGAAACAGGTGGAGTGTGTGACTGAAACATGTCTTTATAACTTATCTGCATTAAATCTAAAGGATAGTTGCTATATATTTATTTAAATCTATTTTCAGTATTAAAAGAAAAGGTTTTAAACTTTTCATAAATATCACAAGTGATATCAAATTTAAATGATGTGCATATATATGCATGTATATAATGATTAGTTTTGCAAATAGAATGAGCCCGTCATAAAGCATTTAACAATTAAGGACATTGGAGGAAACAGCTGTGATATCTGATGTCATTTGAGCTATATATATATATATATATTTATATACTGAAAGGATAAAGAAACACAGAGTAACAAAATATGCAACAATTATTGAATTAACTGCTTGGCCTAAAATTATAAAAAACGCTCAGAAAAGTATTTTGGTCACTGTGCACTGAAACCGGTGGCCTAAGTTACTCAACCGTGTGATGTACTGTGCCACATAGTGAAAGCGTTAAAGTGCAAAAAACTTGTGCAAAATAATGATGACAAGTTTGTCAACACATCTTGTCATACCACTTGATACCATTGAGGTAGACACATCACTCCGCTATCTACTGTCAATTTAAATCTCTTTCAATCATGGTATGGCTAACAAAAGGTTAGAGGGGTCAGGCTGTTGCAATGCTAATGCAAGGTAACAGCTAGGCAACAGCAGCTCAGGTTACTATTCAGTTCGGTGTGAATGTTTCAACCATGCATAGCATGTCTTGTTCATTATCTGAGAGACACTGGAAGGGTTGCCAACCTACTGCGATCGGGGCGTTGGCGCGTAACAATGTGACGCCAGCACATGTACGTGGCTATTTGTTTTGGCCACCTGCGACATAGCCACGTTAATGCCACTGAAACTGTGATTGAAGTGGTAGACAATCATAACTCTCACATTCATCCCAAAATGTTAGGAATTGATTGCCCAAGCTGGGTCTGCGAGCTTGTCATCCTTATATTGGTCTGTCTCTCACTCGTTCACGTCGCATGACTTGGTGGGCGTCACACATGCTGCTCCACATGATAATGCCCGGCCCCATGTAGCCAGAGTTTGTCAAGACTTTCTCACAAGCCATAACATTAACATCACCCACTCAATTGGAATAGTGGAACAATATCCACATGAGAAGGATAAATGCACTGATGATCTCCATGCACAAGAGAATCAGGGCTATGACAGATGTGCGAGCTCAAGGGGGACATACAAAATACTGACAAGTCAGTCAATTTCACTTTGTGATATTGGGGGAGTACCATCAGATGTGCTTCATTTACTTATGGGGCTGTTTGTCAAAATCAGATATAATGCCTCCAACCCGTCCCATATCATTATTTCTGGAACAGCCCTTATTTAATTGTTATAAATGAAAATTTTACGAACAAAAGTATCTAATAATTTTTCAATTTCTGTAGTACATGCAAAAACATGTACAATTTCCTGGGTTGAAGGCATACTGTATAACATGAAATGAACATTCATGGATTTGATGTTGCTATTAAAAACACGAAATTAAATACAACAAATTTGATTGATATACGTGTCTACTGCCTGCTAATATAAGATATCCATGAAAGTTTGTACCACAAAACAATCTAAATGGCTTCAAACCACAAGGGAAAGTACCCACGAACATTTCGTGTTATACAGTAGTCATGCTCTCCCCATCTGGTGCACTATATGTATGCTACCTGGTATGAATTAAGGGATATCCATAGCAAAATATAACATTCTGGTAATTACATATACAGAGATGATAATAACAAGAAAGTTTTGAGTCATTGTGATAAATTGCATGTTTTCATCACCTTTCCTCTTACAGTAGCATTATGACTATCTTCGTTTCCTTTTCAGTATGTGCTGAAGAAGATAAACCTTAAGAAAGCATCTAAAAGAGAGCGATCTTCAGCAGAACAAGAAGCCAAGTTACTGTCAAAACTGAAGCACCCAAACATTGTGTCGTATAAAGACTCTTTTGAGAAGGATGGGACATTGTTTATTGCCATGCAGTATTGTGAGGGAGGGGACCTTTACAACAAGCTCAAGGAAAACAAAGGCCAGGCTCTAGAGGAACGGCAGGTGGTGGAGTGGTTTGTACAGATCGCCATGGCGTTACAGGTTAGTTACTGGTTAATTCTGATGTAATCAAATATTAGCTTTAATTAGGTCAGTAACATCTATACATGTACTGAACCATTGATTCTGCTATAATTAGGTCAGTTACTACTATACATGTACTGAACCATTGATTCTGCGATAATTAGGTCGGTTACAACTATACATGTACCGAACCATTGATTCTGCTATAATTAGGTCAGTTACACCTATACATGTACTGAACCATTGATTCTGCGATAATTAGGTCGGTTACAACTATACATGTACCGAACCATTGATTCTGCTATAATTAGGTCAGGTGCAACTATACATGTACTGAACCATTGATTCTGCTGTAATTAGGTCAGTTACAACTATACATGTACTGAACCATTGGTTCTGCTAGAATTAGGTCGGTTACAACTATACATGTACTGAACCATTCATTCTGCTATAATTAGGTCAGGTACAACTATGCATGTACTGAACCATTGATTCTGCTATAATAAGGCCAGTTACAACTATACATGTACTGAACCATTGATTCTGCTCTAATTAGGTCAGGTACAACTATACATGTACTGAACCATTTATTCTGCTATAATTAGGTCGGTTACAACTATACGTGTACTGAACCATTGATTCTGCTATAATTAGGACAGTTACAACTATACATGTACTGAACCATTGATTCTGCTGTAATTAGGTCAGTTACAACTATACATGTACTGGACCATTGATTCTGCTATAATTAGGTCGGTTACAATTATACATGTACTGAACCATTGATTCTGCTGTAATTAGGTCAGTTACAACTATACATGTACTGGACCATTGATTCTGCTATAATTAGGTCGGTTACAACTATACGTGTACTGAACCATTGATTCTGCTATAATTAGGGCGGTTACAACTATACATGTACTGAACCATTGGTTCTGCTAGAATTAGGTCGGTTACAACTATACATGTACTGAACCATTGGTTCTGCTAGAATTAGGTCGGTTACAACTATACATGTACCGAACCATTGATTCTGCTATAATTAGGTCAGTTACTACTATACATGTACTGAACCATTGATTCTGCGATAATTAGGTCGGTTACAACTATACATGTACTGAACCATTCATTCTGCTATAATTAGGTCAGGTACAACTATGCATGTACTGAACCATTGATTCTGCTATAATTAGGACAGTTACAACTATACATGTACTGAACCATTGATTCTGCGATAATTAGGTCGGTTACAACTATACATGTACTGAACCATTGATTCTGCTATAATTAGGTCGGTTACTGTACAGTTATGCTTTAGGTATACTTACAAAGATAACTTAAGTTTACCAGATAGACCTACATGACATGTGAGATAAAAGTTGGTTAAAACATCCCCACATCAGATTGAGACACCTTAAAGGCACTGTCAAATTCAAATTCTGGCTTTATATAAATCTCAGGTGACAAACTATCTTTCTGGCATGCTGTTTAACTGTTTAGATCCAAATGTATGTAATTTATATATACACAGCTGTACTATATGCCTTTTGAAAATATCTAAGTTAAACTTGTTTTAATCTTGTGAATTAATGTGTATTTAAACATGCTTTACTTTTCGATCTGCAGTACATGCACGAGAGGAACATTCTACATAGAGATCTGAAAACTCAAAACATATTTCTTACAAAAAGTAAAATCATCAAGGTCGGTGACCTGGGTATAGCAAGGTAAGTATAGCTGTTGCTACAAATACAATACCTGTATGTCAACTCTCAGGGACAATTTTAAGTGCCAGGTTTATATAAAGACTCTTAAGAGACCCCCTTGGTACCAAATTGCAAAAACATATTTGTTTTAATTTCCAAAGATAATGTATGAACATTCTGAATTCTTGATACATGTAAGGTGGCAGTACCCTAATCGGATCGGTACCCAAATCGGATCAATTTTTGCAAAAATACACATAAATAAATAAATGTGATGAAGTCTTAGAATAGATAGCTATGCACCATTTTTTGACTACAGATAATTAGTTTTTAAGTTCAAATAGCGCAAGAAAACGTAATTGAAGCTCAAATGTCAATGTTTTGATTACGTTTTTTTAAAAATGGCTCGTGCGACGACTATGCAATATGTTTTGGACTATAGGAATAAATTCACACTATAGAAATACTTTTTGTCACATAAATTCTAAAGGTCATCATAAAATGTTAATATGCTGACAAAAAAATATTCATTTGAAGCGTACGATACTGCAAAATTCAAGCCGTGATCCGATTTGGGTCCCGACATTCGCAAAAACAGGAGATGCTGATTGGTGACTTCAGAGCGTTCTATAAATATCGTAAGTGAGCCCCGGGTGCTAATTTCGTTTGTGAGAACACCCATCGATCTTCTATTTTTGATAAAACTATAAATGAATATAATTCCTCTTCAGATTTTTCAATGATTTAATAAAATGATGGTTTGGTGATCCGATTTGGGTACTGTCACCTTATATGAAAATTTCTGATTTAAAATATAAAATCCCCAAAATCAGATGTGAAAATTCCATTTTTAGGTAAGATTAATCCAAAATTCTAAATTTAGTTATTAAAATTCCTATATTAATTATTATTACACAAACAACAAAGATAGGAGGGAGTAGCGTACATTGCAGCAGGCTTACAAGTGTCAATGTGGACTTTTCTAATTTAGGAACAGCTTACTGTCCTGCAAGCCTACAGTTATAAATCAATAATATGAAGTCAGGTAATTCTTGATTGTAGGTATGGAAGTTCTTAATCTTGGTAATTTAATTGTCAGGATTAAGGAGTATCAGTATGTTAACACATACCTATGTAAGCAGATGATGTAAGATTTATTCTGGGCATATTTTTGCCAAACACCTAGAACATTGACCTCTACGACTGGTTAAGTTTGTAAAGCTAAATATAGCCCCAATTTATAGTTTGAAAATTCAAATCTTATCTGGTTTCTCACACACTGATTGTTCATCAAGACGAACATGTCAATCAAGTTTCACTTTACACATAAAGTCTATTTCATATAGTTCTATTTTACTTAAGTTTGTAAATGAAATATTTTTTATTCACAATTATCTATTAGATCATCTTACGGAACAAGACATTTTGTCCTTGGAAAACATTGATGTATCTTTAAAAATCTGCTTTAAAAAGACCAGTATCTGTGATTAATCAACATAAGCTGACAATGATTGCAATAGTTATGATGCAGGATCTTTTTTATTACAGTTACTTTAATATCGAAAAATATTTTTCTGAATGCTTTAAAAAAAATTGATTCATCTGAGACGTATCTTGATAGTGATGAAAGTCAGATGACACTTGTTGTGATTGACGTTTTGTTGTTGACAGAGTATTGGACAGTTCCAGTAATTGACATTTTGTTGTTGACGGAGTATTGGACAGTTCCAGTAATTGATGTTTTGTTGTTTACAGAGTATTAGATAGTTCCAGCGACATGGCTACCACCCTTATAGGAACCCCTTACTACATGAGTCCCGAGCTCTTTTCCAACAAACCTTACAATCACAAGGTAGGCAGTGTCCAATGATCATTTATAATTGGTAAACCAGTTTAATTGGAAATGGAATGATCTGCAGCATGTCATACCAAATAAATGTAATGGAGTTATTGCCCTATCTAAATATAATTTTGTTTTCATGTTTTCTGTTTATTGTATATTGTAAAGTGAAAAATAATCAGACTGTAAGTAAATTATTGAAAGTTATGTAATTTTCAAAAATTCCTTCACAATCTTTGAAAATGATTCATTGTGAAAGTTTTTTGTGTCAATTTTTCTATTTAGTTTGGAATAGAAAAGAAAAAACTAATGAGATAGGTACATGCAGCTAGTAAGTGACATTTATACGATTTAATGAGGGCTATTCCAGTAAAAGGACTATTCTGAAAAGAAATACGTACCTTGCAGTGCTTTGATGAAAAAAAGGAAAATGAACTAAACGACAACAATAAAAACACCACAGTGTTCTGAGAGTAAACACTCAACATGGCCAGAGTTGAACCTTTAATCATAATAAAGTTGCTTTAACATGTAAGATATGTATGACCATGGTCCAGTCCCACTGTAGTTACATCGGGAACAAAATTAAGGGGAGATAATTACTGTATGTATGGAAGCACTATAGTGGATTTCTCTAAAGTTTGGACTGCATGGGGCCAAGGTTCCTAAAATTGAAAAGTGTTTTTTTAACAAATTAATCAGCAATATAATGAGATGGTGCCTTTCCTTACAGTCTGATGTGTGGGCCCTCGGCTGCTGTGTTTATGAGATGGCAACATTAAAACATGCGTTCAACGCCAAAGACATGAACTCCCTTGTGTACAAAATACTCCGAGGAAAGGTACAGTACATGCTATAACACCACTTGTAGATATCACAAAATACTCTGAGTAAGAGTACAGTTGTACAAAGAAAATATCATGTGGCTTTTTCATATCTTACCACAACTTTATCTGACTCTTTAGGTCGGTTTGACAGTGTCCTTTTGGAGTAATTGATGAATTACTCAAAGTTTAGTATACTAGACATTTTTAAAATGATAAAATCATTGAAAATTCATTCCATTTCGACAACTGAAAATTCCCAATTTACATAGTTTTGCTGATAATCTTCCCAATTTGAACTTGGGGTATGTTTTCTAAAAAATACTCAGTAAACCCCTGCACTGCATATCATGTGTCCACCTAGTATCAGCTATTGGGTGGATATGGAAGTTGTATGATAACAGGTTTAGCCTTGTGATAAAGGAGGTTAATTTGTGTTAAATGTTGCACATCAGGCCTGATATGGCCTAGGGAACATTTGCTGTACCAAATATACAAAAAGCCTTTATGTAGATGGAAGTTATTATAAGATCAACATGTTACAAAGACATGGTCACATTAAATTTTGTCAGACATTCGAGACAGATTCAAAATCAAAACGTAGAGTACTTCACTAATCATGCATTGCAATTCAGGATTCAATTAGGCCCATTCTAAAATCCCTCACCAAATCTTTTCATGCCTGGTCAAAATCCAAATGACTATTTGTAGGCGTTTTCTTTTGACAGTTAACTGTCTCATTTTGCATTGGTATGTAAATCTACTGACACCATCGACACCATTTATGTTTAGATGCCTCCAATGCCAAAACAGTACACGCCAGAGCTTCTCCAGATCATCAAAAATATGTTACACCAGGATCCGGAGAAACGCCCCACGGTGAACCGAATCCTCCGAGACTCCTACATCAAAAAGAACATCTCTATCTTCCTGGAGGAAACCAAGAAGAGGTAAAGTGTTGTCACTGTTGGATGATGAAAGTCCTTCCATTGGATTTCAAAAGGGTTTGGTCCTGTAAATAAGTAAATATGCTGGATCCTACCTAGGTGAATTTTAGTACTGTTTTAGGGGTAAATTTCCATTTGAAGAAAAAAATCCCCAACTCTCAAAGTTTCTTCTCTGAGCTGGAAAATTTGCCAATCTCTATATAAATAATTTCCCCAATCTGAACACTATCTTCCTGGTTTGAAAATTTGATTATTTTTGTAGGAATGTTGAACTGAGTCCTAAGACTTTAACATTGTCCTGTGTCTTGAACTGTAAACGTTCTTATTTAAGCGATTCAAATGTTAGTACATTATCAAATTTAAACAGATCAGTGCATTGATGAATTAGCGCATCCACATATAATAAGCCAGAGAAAACAATGTACTGGAAATTCAATTAATGCATTGTTCCATAATTTAGTGCAATATCTAGAGCACAAACAACACTTAATTAAGAATACCACTAAAATACATATGTGCACAGAAATTGTTAACAAAAGAAAATTGTTTAATCAGAAAGAAAATGGTTTTATTTTTTATTTTATTGTAGGTCCAATATGCTAGTTTGATTAGAACAGTTTCTGTATTTTGCCTTCCAATAAAAATGATATATAAATAATTTATTTTAATATTTGCTATAGTTTTAAAGTAGAAGGGTAAGTATGAAATATATAATTAATTAGCTATAATTCAGCGTAGAGTCATGCTGTCAAATCAAAAGCTATTTTAAAATAGATAAAGATTAATGTGTGATGATCTTTCTGAACAGAATAATTTTCTTTGAAAATGCCAGTACATGTATGGACACATATATACTTATGCCAGCTTGTGAGCTATTCCACCGTTTTTCTTAGAACTCTTTTACTAGAAAGTAGGTCCATTTCAAAGTAAGATAACTTAACCCTTAACAGCTAGACCATGTGTAACAAGCAAAATATTTTGTTAATGTATTTATAAAAGTCATGATATTTGTAACTAAAGGTAGACAAAAATACAACTTTGGCAGTGATTTCATGTAAGAATCTAGATTACCAGGTTGGTTTGCTAGTCTCATCAATAATTTTGTGATACGTTTATTTTGTTTCTGTATTTTCTATTTTCCCTGCGTCGTATTACAATGGTAAGCAAGCCACCGTGTCATCTGTTGATGTCATCACTGGATTCTCCCTAAGTTGTTTTGAGCACCAGTAATATGTTTGCAGTCTCTTTGGTACAATAAATCCTTATATGACAATTTTTAATTCCAATTTTGTGTCCAGTGTACTTGTCTGTAAATATGATTTTGCATTATTAAAGAGTTTTTTTCACCATTCATGCAGGATCTGAATCTGCAAACCCCTCCCCCCAATATTAATATAGCACTGGAAAATCTTAACTTTAAGCACATATATATTAAAGGTTTGAAATCACTTTCCTTTCCTCTGTGTTTAAGTCACTAATCTAACACAGCTTGCATCATCATGGCCATTGCCTGCATTTTATTAAATGATCGTGTGTAGGCAGTCAGGACCTACACAAAGTTACTTTTGTGAATAAGTTTTCATATTGCTGAAAAGTTGTTTGTTGTAAAACTCATTCATTGGGTTCTCATTAATTTGTTTGCAATGTTTCACGATGTTTCAAGTATCAATGTTTATAAAGAGCTGTCAACTATTTGCAGCCCATTCGTGTTATTAAAAGATGACAAATATTTGTTTACATTCATTCCTTATTGATTGGCATATTGTAAATCTGGTAAATTCTCGGGCACATCTTTTTTGAAAGTGTTGGTAGACTCATATTTTATCATCATGAAGAATTAGCATGGCCTTGTACAACTTACCACTGAACAGTATCAGGAGGTGTTACAGGACCTGGAATAATCTTGAGTTTTCCTGTTCTACAAGTATCACAGTAAAAACTCTCATAATTATTCAGATATATGTAAATATTGTGTACCTTTTAAAAAACAAATTACTGGATAAGAAATGTTGATTGTTTATAATACTGATTTAATCAATGATGTGTTTGTTGTGCTTTGTAGTCGACCGAGCAGTGCCAACAAGCCGAGTAGTGCTGCGCGAGTCCGTCCCACTTCATCACGCTCCAGTGCCAGTCACAGCGACAGGTCTCATCACCCACGGCCACCTCCGGCTCCTTCAGCGCCTTCATCCCAGGATATTGTTGATGGAGGAAAAGAGAAAGTTAGTGTGTTTCATGTCAATGCCAATAGCAACCGTGATCAGGAACCACCTCCGTCAGAACCACAGCCAACGCCTGTGATTCTGCGAAAACCCACTCATGCAAGAAAGCCATCAGATGGTGCCAAACAGGACCTGCCCCCAATAGCAGAAGACAAGGCTGTAGCCCATTCGGACAAGAAACTTGATTCATCTTCAGGTTCTGATCAGGACACTGTCAAGGCTAAAAGCCTTAAAGAAAAGGAGGTGAAATTAAATTTTAATATTATTTCCTTGGGAAAATTTCTCAAATGATCAACAGCTGATTTTAAGTTTTGAAAGGACATGCTCATAAGACTTTGGCTCATACTATGAGTAGGCTGAGGGAATATAGGGGTGTTGACATTTAAGCACATTGAACAATATTAAGGATTTTATTGGAGCATTTGAAGTGGTACATTTGTCACAGCCTGTTGGTACAAGTACATAGAATCTGGTTTTCACTGATTAGTCTTACTTGTTAAGTATATAATGTATTAATATTTTTTCCCCAGAAGCCTTCCTCCCCTAAAAAGAACAATGCATCTAGTCCCAGAAAGAAGAAAAAAGAAAGCTGGATATCAAAGAAAAATAGCCGTGGTGATGGTGAGAGGTCGGAGGCAGATTCTGCTGCAAATGTTGATTCAGCTGCAAGTGGGACAAACTCAAACCACAAAAAGTCCATTTTCAAAAACGTGAGTGATTTTCAACCGTAAAGTCATTAGTTATGTTTAGGAATACTGATTATCATTCTTTGTTGAGAAAAGATAAAGAATAACAAGGTCACTATTCTACAAAGACACCAGCCATGCAGTATTTCTTAATAAGATTGGAATTGCGAAAATTGATGTCACGTACAACAATGGTGATTGTCTTGTACGTACTACAGGTTACAAATTAAGACCATTTAACCAGGTAAAAGTTGGTTTGTGACATTGGTTAGTTAACCATGATCAGTGCTGGTTATAACATAGTTAAGGTAATATAAACTCAGGTGGTTGTGACATTGGTTAGTTAACCATGACCAGTGCTGGTTATGACGTAGTTAAGGTAATATAAACTCAGGTGATTGTGACATTGGTTTGGGTTTAATAGCATGCAGCCACAGACGCTGAGCCCCGCCACTTTTCACATGATCGTTCTGTAAGTAATATATTGCTGTGTGAAAATCTGTCTTGCTGTGTGTGTGAATTAATACAAGGGAATCTCTGAATCTAGAACTGTCACTTCTAAACTCTGTCAGGGTTGAGTGGAAATGTTCTGTAGTTTTATTAACTAATCCTTTCCATCTCTATAGATCTAGACTAGTCACTGAACTTTGGTTGGTATAAGAGTAAATGTTTAGGATAAGATCTATACAGTTGAGCCTTATTAATCCAGCCAACACTTACATTGATCCCAAATCCAAACAGCTGTCCCACTATTCAAGGTACATGTATGTTTTAGAGGACAGACTTTACTTTGAGGATATATATTATTGCTATTCAAAAGAGTTCCTGTCATCAATTCATTGTACCATCCGGTTTAAGTTTAAGCTGAGAATAAATTGGTTGGATTCATGAGGATTTTCTGTGTTTCAACATCTTAATATGTTTCTATTAACATTTCTGAAAACTATAAACTAGCTACATTGAAGTATTTTTTGAAAGGAGGGAGGCAGGTTAATTATAACCACATACCTGTAAATGTCATTCTGTTTTTAACAGGAGAGCTTGCAGAAATTTATCATCCCCCCTTCTAAGGTCCATCGAATTCACAATTGAATTCAGGTCTATTTTCATCAAAGTTGTCAAGATAAATCCAAATTTGCACAAAAAATGCATGTTTTTAACACATTTTAAAATTCCTATCCTTTTCTGGTAATTCTTGATTTTTGTTGAGTATAGTGAATTATAAGCAATCACTTGAGGCTTTTCATTTCACAATTTACAAACATTTGAAAATCCTATATACCCTGATAAATACCTGCAGGCACCAACACCATCAGTTAACCTTCATTTGCTGTTTTTTTACACTAACATGTATATTAGGTTCTCAAGAGTAATTCATTTGCTGCAAATATAGCGAGAACAAATGGTGAGTGGATTCCCCGATACTTATGTTATTGTGTAGTACCAATGTAAATCATGATTTCAAATATATCCTGTTTTAAGTTGTAATGTTATACATAATCTAAAGAATGTATATCTATATACATTGTGCAACATGCATGTTTCACCAGTAATAACATGGCTAAGTAGACATATCCATAAAATAGCAAGTAAAAGGGGAGATAATCTGTTACTGACCTGTCCTAAATTAGTGGTTAACTACACGGTGACAAGCTAAGAGTGAGCAGTATTTCTTGTTTTACACTAAACAGCATGTTTAGTTACAGGTTCATTGTATCTAACACAATAATCGAAAAAGTGCACACGTGCTTTTCAGTTCCTAGTAAATCAAAAAAGTAAAATGATGACTGGGTACCAAAATATATTTGTGCATTATTTTTATCATAATGCAGTAAGTGACTTATTATATATAAGAAAATAATTTAGTGTACTGATAATGATGGCTTAATTGCTTGATGCAATACCAGGCTTCTCCAATGTAAACTGTCAGATTTATACAATGTAAACAGTGTCAGATCTATACAATGTAAACAGTGTCAGATTTATACAATGTAAACAGTGTCAGATTTATATAATGTAGTTCCTGTCTATTGGAGGCATCAAGGACCTAGCATTGGTGCTTGACTTGCATCATCTGTGTATGATAATGATATAGATATTGATGTTATTTTTAGCTCACCTGGCCCGAAGGGCCATGTGAGCTTATCCCATGGTGCAGCGTCCGTCGTCCGTCTTCCGTCTTCCGGCGTTCCGGCGTCCTTCAACTTGGTCCTTTAAAATGCTACTTGTCCTGAATGGCTCAGAGGATTTTGACCAAATTTGGTCAGGAGCATCATTGGCCAAAGGGTTCTCAGTTTTGTATAAACGGAGGGTATAACCCCCCTGGGGGCAGAGGGGCGGGGCCAAATAGGGGGAAAATAGGTAAATCTTTAAAAATCTTCTTCTTCTCAACCAATAGAAGAATTTTGACCAAATTTGTCCTAGAGCATCTTTGGACAAAGGAGACTCAAGTTTGTATAAACGGAGGGTGTGGGCCTTCTGGCGGCATAGGAGCGGGGCCCAATAGGGGAAATAGAGGATTTTTTTTCTCCTACTATACAAGTGAAGGGATTTAAACCAAATGCAGTCTGAAGCATGCTTAGGGAGAAAAGAATCAATTTTGTTTAAACTGAGGTGTGTGGATTCCCCTTCTTTGGGGCAGATTAGTGGGGCCCATTAGGGGAAATAGAGGAAAACATTAAAGATCCTTCTCCTTCTGTACCGTTGAAGGGATTTTAACCTAACCAAACTTGTTTTAGAGAATCTTTGGGCAAAGGGAATTGAATATTTATAAATGGAAGATGCAACTTTGTTACTTGTACTCCTTTGATAAACCTGAATGGTACTCAGCAGGTTTTAAATTGAAAAATAAAATACCAGGTGAGCTATTAAGGCCCCTGGGCCTCTTGTTCTAAAGTTATATTAAAATCTATACAAAAAGGAAATTACAAAATTAATAAGTGTATTTGATTATTTAAGTATAACATTCTGTAGAAATATTGATTGCTGAATTTTGAAATAACCACATTTTATGACCAACTAACATTGCCTAATTTGTTTTCTGTGAATAATTAACATATAAAGGTCACTAATATGTATGTAAAGGTTGGATTTCACACGGTGCCAGAGATGCGCCACACATACGTTAAGTATGGCCAGGTAAGGTTCTTTACTAGATGTTGAAACAGGGGGAAACTTCAGGTAGGGACAAAATATAACAATATGTTTAAGAAAAGAATGAAGAACTTTAATATAATTATAGGGCAAAGGTAATTAACATCGAACTTTAACTTTACATTATACAATTATTTAACTTCTGAATATACTGTAGCGGAGCTCTATCGGCTCCTGTTCATGTATTGGAAACTTAACTTAAACTTTATATTATACAATTATTTAACTTCTGAGTACAATGTAGCGGAGCTCTATCGGCTCCTGTATTGGAAACTAACTTAAACTTTCACTTTTGAAAATATAAAGCTGTGAAAACTAAAATTTGAATTGATAAAATATTTGCACGGATTTGTATTTATGGATGTTTCTTAATGTGGAACTTCAGTAGCTGAAGACTGTGTGATATTTTGCTTTGCCGATTTGTTCCCTACTGTTTCCTGTTTAATTTCCTATTTTTGCTAGCAATGCTTTTTTGGGTATGCTCAACAAATTTATTTGCAGACAATTATCTAATGGTAAAAACAAAAACTTAGTTATACAAATTAATTATTGATATAAATGTAGCGGAACTGGACTGGGTTTGTTCGTCGGCGACCATGTAGCTCAATTGGTAAAGCCTCTGTCTAGAGGGTCCCAGTTCAAATCCCGGGCTGACTGTGTATTTCTCTTTCTCCTGTCACATTAATGACAGATTTTGCAAACTTAAAGGAATAATTCATAGTGTTACAGAAATTGGATTTATAATATAGGCAGTTCGACAAAAGGAATTTGATAATGTTTTGTTTCAGTTTGATACTCTTGGTAAAGAGAAAGACGGAATACTTTCCAGAAATACCAATCTTTGAAACTTTTCTCGGGGTTAAAACTATAAGGCAAAAATAAAACTTGCCCTATTTGATTAAATACAAGTACAAAATGTCATAGTTTAAAGGGTTCCATACAATGTACTTATTTAATTTTATCAAAAGAAAAATAAGTTTTAAAGCATTTGGTGATCTTCATTTGACAACTATCAGGTTTTCTAGTCCTGCACCATACACACTTTTGACAACTATCAGGCTTTCTAGTCCTGCACCATAAACACTTTTGACAACTATCAGGTTTTTGTGTCGCCTGCGGAAAGCTGGTGACACAGGTATTGCTATGGCGGTGGCGGCGGTGGCGGCGGCGGCCGCATCCGCGCCCGCACAGAGGTTTTCGTGCGATAACTTGAGTTTCCTTGGGCCGATCAAACTCAAACTTCATGCAGTGCTTTCTTACCAAAAGTGCTTGCTTTGGATAGCTTTTCAGGTCCTAAGGTCAAAGGTCAAGGTCACTGTTACTATAAATAGAAAATCTGTTTTCGTGCGATAACTTGAGTTTCCTTGGATCAAACTCAAACTTCATGCAATGCTTTCTTACCAAAATTGCTTGCTTGGGATTGCTTTTCAGGTCCGAAGGTCAAAGGTCAAGATCACTGTTACTATAAATAGAAAGTCTGTTTTCGTGCGATAACTTGAGTTTCCTTGGTCCGATCAAACTCAAACTTCATGCAGTGCCTCCTTACCAAAAAGTGCTTGCTTGGGATTGCTTTGCAGGTCCGAAGGTCAAAGGTCAAGGTCACTGTTACTATAAATAGAACATCTGTTTTCGTGCGAAAACTTGAGTTTCCTTGGATCAAACTCAAACTTCATGCAGTGCTAAGCAAGTCCTGCGCAGGCGACACATCCACTTCCGTGGAATTCTTGTCTAGTCATGCACCATACACACTTTTGACAACTATCAGGTTTTCTAGTCCTGCACCATACACACTTTTGACAACTATCAGATTTTCTAGTCATGCACCTTACACACTTTTGACAACTATCAGTTTTTTCCTTATCCTGCACTATACACACTTTTGACAACTATCAGGTTTTCTAGTCCTGCACCATACACACTTTTGACAACTATCAGGCTTTCTAGTCCTGCACCATACACATTTTCCTAAATGTTTGAAAAGTTCACCATTGAAATTCATCTACTTTATTGGACAAGAACAGGAAATAGACATGTTTACTATATCACTATTTACATCAGTCCTAAAGCTAGTTTTCTGGCTATTTTGCATGTAAGGATCTTTTGATTTAATGTGAGTGGATAGTTTCAAATTTCATTTTTCTGAAGTTGACTGTAAATTTGTTTCCATATTGTGCTGGACTGGTTACACATCACTTTTAAAAGTTGATCCTTCCTGCTCCTCAAGACATCAAGCTTTGCTACATATTACCTGTCAACTTTGTGCTACAAAGCATTTCATCCTCTATGTATTTATATGCCACTCTGCATAAAAACAAAAAGCTCTCGTTAAAAGAATTATTAGTGTGGTTGAGAAAAAGATGAGCATAATATTAATTGATAAATTTTGTTAGCTCTTTGCCCAATTATGAAAGGGTGTTTTTCAGAGTCTTGATATCTTGTATTAATTTATTAACATAAACTAGGGGTATTGAATCAGATTAATATAACTTTTTATTTGTTACCCTTTCAGAGTCTTTGCAAAGGAGTTTTGTTATAGATGTTAATATGGTTGTTTGTTATGTACATGGTTTAAAGTTAATTGTCACAGAAACATCTATAATATGTTTTATGTTGCAGTACTTTATCTCTTAAGTATTGATATTCTTACTGTTGTAGCCAAAGCCAGTAGACAAACCACGCCCACTACCTCCGCCCCCACAGGTGGAGGAGTCGGAAGGCCTGCCTCAACATCGCCAGGTCTCCAGTCAAGACAAATATTCTGCCATAGAGTCCAAATCTTCTAGTACCTCTAGTTCAAGGGAGGATGCATCCTGGGACGCCGAAACACCACGGGTCAGTTGTCCCAATAGCTTGACCTCTTAAATTAGACTATATATAATATATTGACATATATTTAATATAAATTTATTTTAAGTGCAGCTTCATTCAAGAATTATAATTATGATTGGATAAAGAAATCTCAATCAGTAAAAATGTATATTTTCTTTTACAAGCTAAATTGTGTATTCCAGTTTTAGACACTTGTGGTAAGCTAATGATATTGTTAGCTACGTAGAATCCGAAAACATTTGGTGTAAAGTCATGATGTGTATCACTTGTGAATTGGCACCAATATGCAGAAATAAGAATTATATTAAGTTATTTGGAAAGTTCTAAGGGAGACAAAATCTTCAAAAAGTTAAGGTATCCGTTTTCCATGTTTTACAGAGTTTACCGAACGTGTCAGCTAGAATGAGACGTCGAAACAATGCTTCATCTTGTAAGTTTACGAACATGTTGAAAATTTCAATTGACAGATATAAAATATTTTCTATCACTTTCAATCAAGTAGAAATATAATTTTATTTGTAATAAAATGCTTTATGCATAATAGAAGATGAACCAAAACTTTGTAATGACATTACCCCCCCCCCCCCGTTATGTGATTTAACAGAACCACTCATGAGGTTTCTTATCCCAGTTATTTGATCTGTAACAACAGTTTGAATGTAAATTGATTGAAATGTACACTTCATACATAATAGCTATGGAGCGTCCTCAATCAGCACGGCAAGTCAAGTTAAAGCGGCCCGAATCTCAAAGACTGACAAAAGCCGAAAGGAGTGAGGTATGAAACCAAATAATACAAGGAAACTACTAGATACCTTGGACTGGTGAACATTACTATCTACACTGAATTTCTGTCTGATTGTACTCAAGAAAGCATGCAGTATATGGCTTGGGTACTATATGCAAAGTAGTTTAAGGAAAATTAAGGGAGATAACTCCTAACGGTTTAGTGTTATAAGATGCTAACAAAATAAATCCTTAAGTTTAACATTTTTATTTAAATTATCAACATGTTTTGATTTACAGCATGAACCTGTTAGAACAAAATCAAAACCCAACAAAATCCGACAACCGTCTATACAGGACGACAGCTCCAGTTCTGAAGAAGAAACACTCAAGGAAAACGAGGATTTCAAGCGAGACAAAGAAAAACTCAGGTATTTAATTTGAAACCATTAACAAGCACTGTACCCATGTACTGGGGTGTTTCCCCCCAATGGAAGATTTCCAGGGAGAAAACATGTATGTTAGGCCAAAAATTAAATGTGTGTTTAGGATACAAGTTGAAAATTCTATATGATTGGAAGGTAGGAAAGTTATGTATTACATAAATGTTTTAACTGGCAAAATACATCAATTTGATAACATGAAAAGTATTTGATTGAAAATTCCCTGTAAGATCTTTCAAAGATTGCATTTAGAGAAAAATGCTATAATAGGAAGGGAACTCGGAACACATGACGTTATACAATTTTTTCGAACCCGATTTGCATGAAATAATGAAAATGTTTACTGGGCACAGAAAAAATATGTGAATATAATACTAATACTTGACTGATACTATAATGATTTAGAAATGATTTATTCTGTAAAATCAGAACCCCTGTATAATTTAGGCCTTTAATTATATCTTACAATATACATTCTTGGTATTTAAACCCTGTATAGTCTGGATTCCAGTATTAAACTGAACCAACTATTGGTGTCCTGTATACATTGTATAATCTGGACACCTGTGTATACCAGACTTTTAACTACTGTAACAGGTGTTGCTGTATTTTGACTTCTATTACAAATGAGAATAAGATCCTGTGTCCTCTAGTGGTTTGTTTAACGATGTTCAGCGTGACCCAGTCCATCGATTCCTAAATGGAATTCACTAGTCCAGCCATAAGAGTTATCAAATTCACTAGTCCAGCCATAAATAAGAGTTATCAAATTCAAAAGGGATGACCAGACAACTAAATGGGGAGTCTCTGCAAATTGCCGAGGCTCTCCATTTGATGTCGTCTGGCCATCTCCTGATTTGAATTTAGATTTCTTTGTAAATGAGCTTGCTTTTAAACAGTAGCCATGGCTATCATGTACAGAGTTATTGTTTCAATTGGTGTTCAGTTTAGACTGGTTTCACTGTAGATTTCCCTTCCATATACATATTAATCTTTCTCGTCCTTTCCTTTAACACTATTGTACAAATATACACTGTACAGTTGTTTAAATCCAAGAATTTACTTAATCAACCAGGAGTTCCACTTAGCCTTATTCTGTTTGTGTAGCTGGTCATCGTATGATGATGGGTTTGACTTGTCGAGCACATCTGACAATGATGGGTACTGTATCAGACAAAACTACCGAATGGGTTTTAACTCGTCCGCCATGCTCTACCGGTGATGGTTTTTGTAAGGCTGTGTGGCAGCGTAACATGGCTAGTGGACCGCGTGTAATTCAGCAGGACCATCGTCTTCACATAGAAAAACCCAAGTCGGTTTCCACACGTGTCTGCTTCATTTTTTATGAAAAAAAAAAATAGAACATAAATTTTTAATGTTATGATTTAAGTTACGTAAATAAGTTGTCGAAGCATTAGATGTATTACTTGCTGAACTTTGTTATCAAGAAATAAAAAATAAGCTTCCTTTCTACCTATAAGCTAACACCAAATTAAAAAAAATCTTGTGTTTCTGCTAAACCCTATCTACCCTAAATTTTTGTGCCTTCCCTAAATTTTTATTGACATTTAGTGATATTCTTTGTTGAAGTCAGACATCTTGCTCTATATAAGCATAGTAAAATAATTTCCAAAATAAAAATAAATACCTACTTACCTTACACATTTTTTATGAGGATGATAGCAGAAACAAAAGTGTGTGGTTTTTTTTTCACCTAACTGAAAGGTATAGGATGAAGGAAGGTACTTAGTTTTAGACAATACATAACCTGTTGATATTACGTAAATCTGAACTAGGGTTTGTCGTGGAATCTGGCTCTATTACTAATAGAGTAATAATATATACATTTGGGTGTGTGGTGTGCAAAGTAGAAACAAGTTATGACATATCAATCATTAGATTTTTATTAATCAGAAACAGGATCAGGGAAATGGATTTTTTTTAAAAATAAAATAGTACCTGTATTTAAAGCTGTCATTTACTGCGGTGTTTCTTTTTGCTTGAGAAAATAGGCACTGCTAAATTTGTGGTTACAAAATTGTAAAGTGTGCAGTGTTACTTGACTAGAAACCGTTGCTGTGCTGTTGAGTTTACATATTTACAGAAGTCAAGAGAATAATACTATTGCTTCAGTAACCCTAATTATAGTACTTTGTGTAAAATAACCTGCACATAGGTATATATGTGTGTTCAAATGTGTAAGAGTAATTAAGATACAAAAAGCTGCTGAAATTTGAAGAAAATTTAAAGGGTTTGTGAGACATATTGGATGATATTACTAAATGATAATTTTCCACTAAATTTATTCATTAAAATGTAATTTAATTGCTGTTATTTGAACTATCTTCTTTTTCCAAAATTAATTACTTCTTATAGTGGATTCATGGCTTTTTCCATCATTCAGTAGTGACTTAACAGGTTCTGTAACAGATGCTATCTTTTATTTTTAAGGGAGAATAAAGAGATGAACAATTTTATTTCCCTGCTTGACACCACACTAAACTTGAACAAGGAAGACGATAAGTCAGACGAAGAATCACCAGAGAGTAGGATGGTAGAGGAGGAGGAAGAAAAAGCCCCGTCGCCAGTCGCTAGTCCAGACATCCACCGATCAGCCTCACTGCCAAGTCAGTTATCAACCAATCAAAACACTGATTACATTATACATTCATTTTGTTTAAACCAATCTTATTCCACTTGTCTCTTGTATTTGTATCCTTGTTGAATTAGCGGTAAATGAATTATGGGATTTATAACACCAAACGTTTGTCCAGTAGATTTCTGGTGTCTCAAAGATGAATAGACCCTTCCTCTGGGAGGTTCATGCATATTCATCAGAATGGTTTACCAAATAAAAGGATATAGGAAATATGTAGGTTAATGGGAACTGTTCCTATCACATATGTTATATGCTCTATTTAATTTCACCCTAAAACAAGAGGAAATCTTATAAGATCTGATTAGATGTTTATTGTGTACAGTTAATAAAATCTGTTGTTTGGGCAGTAAATAAAATCTCAAAAATGTTAGTGAACTTAATTGAAAATGGCAAGAGTGAATATTAATTGAACTGAATATTCTTTTAGTTTCATTACCCTGAATGATGTGTCTACAGGTGTAGAGACTTTATGTAGTGCCAACAGATTGTTGACATTGTTGATGGTTGTTTACAGGTGTAGAGACTTTATTTAGTGCCAACAGATTGTTGACATTATTGATGTCTGTTTACAGGTGTAGAGACTTTATGAAGTGCCAACAGATTGTTGACATTGTTGATGTCTGTTTACAGGTGTAGAGACTTTATGTAGTGCCAACAGATTGTTGACATTATTGATGGTTGTTTACAAGTGTAGAGACTTTATGTAGTGCCAACAGATTGTTGACATTATTGATGTCTGTTTACAGGTGTAGAGACATTATGTAGTGCCAACAGATTGTTGACATTATTGGTGGTTGTTTACAGGTGTAGAGACTTTATGTAGTGCCAACAGATTGTTGACATTATTGGTGTTTGTTTACAGGTGTAGAGACACTATGTAGTGCCAACAGATTGTTGACATTGTTGATGTCTGTTTACAGGTGTAGAGACTTTATGTAGTGCCAACAGATTGTTGACATTATTGATGTCTGTTTACAGGTGTAGAGACATTATGTAGTGCCAACAGATTGTTGACATTATTGATGTTTGTTTACAGGTGTAGAGACTTTATGTAGTGCCAACAGATTGTTGACATTATTGATGTTTGTTTACAGGTGTAGAGACATTATGAAGTGCCAACAGATTGTTGACATTGTTGATGTCTGTTTACAGGTGTAGAGACTTTATGTAGTGCCAACAGATTGTTGACATTATTGATGTCTGTTTACAGGTGTAGAGACATTATGTAGTGCCAACAGATTGTTTACATTGTTGTTGTCTGTTTACAGGTGTAGAGACTTTATGTAGTGCCAACAGATTGAGTCAGAGGATACAGCTCTTACACAAGTGAGTACACATGATAGATAGTTGTCATGTCTTGTTTTAAATCACAACTCTCAGATCTTTTATGAAATCTGTTGCTATTGATGATATGAAATCATAAGACATGGACATTACTTGCAGATTATTTAAGGTCAAATTGATTTGTCATTTGAGTCACTGGTACGTTTATGTATTCAAGGAACCCTGTACCACTGCCCAAGACTGTCACTTTGTATTTAAGGAACCCCGTACCACTGCCCAAGACTGTCACTTTGTATTGAAACCTCAGAGTGTTATACTGTCACTTTAACCAATTGGGCTTCCTACAAGTGCTCTGGCCCTACATTTACATTCAAAAGGGAACCGTGTAATTCTCTTGTGTTTTGCCTCCTGTGGGACAGGAATCCTTAAGCTTGCCTTTGAAATAGTGGCTTTAATACTGTTGTTTAAATCTGGAGAAATTATTGTTCCTAATAGTGTAGCCTAACTCAAGAAAATAATAATACTCAAGTTTTCCTACAACATTTTCTTGTAGAAGATTTGAATCTATTGTGAGATTTTGTCATTCACATTAATATTGTTTTAAAACTGATGTTTATCATTAACCAGGGACTGTGTTTCGGGAGTCGGGTTTGAAACTCTCCACAAGGCGTACCAGATTCTCAGCAACATTGAGGATGATGAAGTAGAGGTAATTATTAAACTGGGATAATTGTTGTCTTACCTGCAGTATGGATGGATATACAGCAGAAAATACATGTTTCTGTTTCTTTGGTGTCAGTGATGCTGCAACAATCCACTCATTCCAGTATGTAGATATATTCTGGTTTTATTATTGAAGACAGTGCCGATTTTTACAGAGCATTTTTCACAATTGTGTAATTTTCACAATATTAGAAGAAAGATGAATCTGCGAAGTTAATACAACTGGGAAATGCTCTGTTTAAAAATAGCTACAGTAATATAAAATAACGGTAGAGTCACAACTTTGGCACAATGAGCTGGCAGATGTTATTTTTTTCTTTTTATAAAATTGCAAAAATTGCTCAAAACATGGTGAAATAATGGCTGTACATAATAAGGGAATTGGTCATCTAGTTTTTGCAGTGACATGTTTCACAATATTTATTTTTACTTATATTTGTGTGTTGATCAGATCATGAATTGAAATGTCTTGCAAATTTACATTTATTCCGTCTTATTTCAACAGTGGATATTTGAAACTTATTGTTCATTTCGTAATTCAAATCCCAGCAAGGAAGTTGTTTGAAACATAATGGCAATATTAAGTATTGGTGAAAATGAAATGATTTCCAAAAGGCAAATCAAATTTTTGATATATATAATGCGTGTCTGAATGAGGATAATTTGTTAAAACATCTTCTATTTTAGCCTCAGCTGGTGACATTGATGGGCAAGGAGAACTTTGATTTGTATGCGGGCAAAATCTGGCAACTCAAATTCTGTGAGGAATGTCTACTACAACTGCCAAGTTTACAGAGCTAGCTCCTGTCTTCATGTGAAGTAAACTATTGACATTTTATAAATGGAACATCCAGTATAACTGAGAGATCACAGAAATCAAATGTTCACTAGACCCACCCACTGGACACTACCCAGCACTTCGTCTCTATTGTCACACCCAGTGGTAGACTACAGTACCATTTAGATGTTCATATATGTGTAAGCATGGATCAATGTCTCCTATTTTTCCCTATCTGGCTGTCACTTTTACCAGATATACATATGTCTACCTGGGTTGTCCGTACCATGAGAGCCAGAAAACATATATTATGTTGTATATGCATGTCGCACATATGAAGTCGACTTGAGGAAAGCATTTTGTGAGAAAATTCAAATTTTTCTCACACTATCTATTATAATTTCTCATTTAGCTTTCAATGACTTCATTCAGGCAAGTGAATTCTGTATTAACACTTGTCCAGTAAAAGTTTTAGGAGCTTCTACAAATATAGTATACTAACATACACTATTCTGAATGTGGGTATTAAGGAGGTTTTAATATTTATATATGTATATATGTGTGTGTGTACCTATTAGTAGTTGAATAAGTAGAAAACATTGTCGATGAGAGGTTGAAAGAGATATTTTATATATGAACAGATTTTACTTACTTCTGTTCAGTTAATGTCACCTAATACGCAGACTTTTGAAGAATAATTGCAGCAGAATATTATAGGGCTGGCCTGGTTCATCCATTTTAAAAAGGAAATATAGAAGAAGTTTTTTAAGTAATACATATATATGTCTGTACCTCTTTTTCAAGAAAGCTCCACATTAAAAATCCTGTAATTAAATGTCTTATTATGAAAGGTTATGTAGCACCATGAAATTCATGTTCACTAGCTAAGAGTAGGTAGACAAGATTGTACTGGATCATAACTCTGGCCAGCAAAGATGCATATATTTGCTTGATAGCATTTGAAAGTTAATGCAACTAAGAGAATTAAAAAATAAAGTTAATGAAATGTTTGTTAAGGGATCCAGGTATAATGTGTTAGGGAGCATACATTTTAAAGGGAGATAACTCTTCAACAAAAACCAGGTACCGGTATTTATTTAATGATACATCTTTCTAACATGATATTGAAGCTTGTTGGAGCTATTTTACTGACATGATAATGTAAGCTCGGTGGAACTATTTTAATGACATTATCATGTAAGCTCGGTGGAGCTTATTTAATGACATGATCATGTAAGCTCAGTGGAGCTTATTTAATGACATGATCATGTAAGCTCAGTGGAGCTTATTTAATGACATGATCATGTAAGCTCGGTAGAGCTTATTTAATGACATGATCATGTAAGCTCAGTGGAGTTTATTTAATGACATGATCATGTAAGCTCAATGGAGCTTATTTAATGACATGATCATGTAAGCTCAATGGAGCTTTTTTAATGACATTATCATGTAAGCTCAGTGGAGCTTATTTAATGACATGATCATGTAAGCTCAGTGGAGCTTATTTAATGACATGATCATGTAAGCTCAGTGGAGCTTATTTAATGACAAGATCATGTAAGCTCGGTGAAGCTTTTTTAATGACATTATCATGTAAGCTCAGTGGAGCTTTTTTAATGACATGATCATGTAAGCTCAGTGGAGCATATTTAATGACATGATCATGTAAGCTTGGTGAAGCTTTTTTAATGACATACATGGCCCAATTATTCAAAAGGTGATTAGCTTAATTGCATTAGCATTTACAACATGAAATGAATCTAACAACTTGACTTTGATTGTTTGTGATTTTGTTTTTATCACATTCAAAACAGTGAAAGCATTTTTGTGATGAAGATCAACTGCTGATATATATATATCTTTGTGCACTTATTTCAAAGTTAATGACATCTTTATCTCTGGTAAATAGATTTTTATGGTATGTTTAAGAATATTTATTTGTAAATTTTAAAGTAAAATTTATTTATTATCTTATATTTGTTTCCGTCCTAAAATCTATCAATCTATGCATTCCTTTTGTGTTGATTTATTTCTACAACTTTTATACAAAGTATAGGTAAATGCTCCTTTGTACTTTTATTAGTTGGAAACCCTGCCCGACTCCAACAGATCCGATCTACTTCTTAATGATACTTGATATTAACTCATTCACCCCTGAAGACACATTTGAGCTCTTCCAGTTCAAATGTTCGAATAGTTCATAATGAAATTTAAGGGGTGAATGAGTTTATCAATACATTCATTTGATTTTATCATTTTCTGTACACAAACAGTTTGTGCTGGCCCCTCTAATCAAAGTCGCCATATACCCCCTGTGTCCAGGTAAATAGTCCTTAAACAACGAGAACCTCAGTAAACTAAGCATACACATATACATGACAGTTGTGTGTCTGTCGTTCGTTCAAACCTGCCAGTAAATATTCTATTTGTTCATTTATAAATCCTTTTTGTAAAGCATTTTTTTTCACATTTTCGTTGATGTACTTTGTACGTATGACAGAATTTGTAGGACTCTTATTTTGGCAGGGTTGTGAATGTGTGTGTGCTTTTTTAAAATGTAATCAGAACTACAGTAAAGTTCAAGAAGTCTTATTTTTGTATTAAAAATAGGTCTCAAACTGAGGATGAGTTAGATTCTCATTGGCTATTGATTTCATTACATGTACCTGTTTTGTTATTTTTCAAACATTTATGAACTGAATTTGTTAATCAAAGTTTTCGTAAATTTATGATGTCATTTGTTTTGTTCCATTTGGATTTTATTTCATTGAGGTATAAGAGATCAAGAACTAATCATATTACTCGAACTGACCAGTGGTCTACATACAACTGACCAGTGGTCTACATACAACTGACCAGTGGTCTACATACAACTAACCAGTGGTCTACATACAACTGACCAGTGGTCTACATACAACTGACCAGTGGTCTACATACAACTTACCAGAAGTCGGTGAATGGGACATGAGGTTTTAGATAAACACCACCATACTTATTCCACGTACATGCCAGTTGATTGTAGGCACAGCTAGACATTCCAGTTCACGGCTTTACCTTGGTATTGTAGATACATTCTAGTTTATGTCTAACAACTTTCAGTAGCATGCTTTTGATTCTACGTTTGCCTGTCAAACACACTATTATAGTTTATGGAAGTTAGCTCCAGGTACAGATCAGGTTCCCGTAAGCTGCACTTCAACGATGCAGTCATTATCCAGTGGCAGTAATGCTATATTAGTATACACATATTAGATTTCAAAATAAGATAGAACTCCTACACATTATGGGGATTCATTTCCAGGTTGGGATATCAAATTCGTTTTGTTAGTAGTAGAGCCAGCAACAGGAATTTGTATATCTGAATACATCTGTGAAAATCTGATTTTATATACATGAAGAAATAACATTTTGGGGAAATTAGAACTATAATTGGCTTATGAATATTTGAAATAATTCCATACATCTGTCTGCTATTTTTAATTCCAAATAATCTATATATATTTTATTAACATTTCCATATGTTACATGCAAGACAGATTGTACTTTATGATTAACCATATTTGTCCTACATGTATGTAAAATTTATGTTTAATTGTAACTTTGACCCAGTTAATATTGCTCTATTTGCGGTTTGAACCAATAATCACTGTTGAATATCTGCTTTTCTTCTGGTTTATGCTATGTATTAGTAAGAGGTTTATTTGTAAAAAATGGCTCTATTTAAATATATCCAAGTGCTAAACTAGGATGTAATTTTAATCTCATTTGTGTAATATATCTTGATTATTTTTTGTTAAAGATTCTTTATTGCATAAACTGGGATGGTTTCAGATAATTGCCCTATGCATGTCAATTCAATACCTGACCTTTAATTCATAGTCCCCAAAATGTAATGTGTAGAAAACAATGTGTCATTACTGTGTTGTGGTCAATACTGTCTTGTTACAACAATGAATCCCTTGTACAAGATGGTACCCGCTTCACATTGTAGCTGAAACTGTCCTTATGGAACTCACTGGAAGGAGTAAGGGAAACCGTCAGAATGGAACCTGTTACTCTGTACATGTGCTGGGGAAACTGGTGGTGTTTATTTCTTTTTACATTCCTTTAATTTCATGTAACAAATCTTGGGAATATTTTCCAGTGTTGTTAAAGTATATTTGTATGCTTATGCTCTGTGATTTTAGATGAACATGTAATCATTTGCAGAAGACGTCCATTTTCTGATTTAAATATTACCCGGGTAACGTGTATGTTGACATATGGATTTGTAATTGTACAATATAAATGGAGGAGGAAGTCAGATCTGGCCACCCAACCACATTTTAACAGTTGTTCGTTTTTAAGTGTAAAATCGGTTGTTGCTCATTTTATTTGACAATTAATTGAAATGTAATAATAAATTGTTCAAACCAAGGTCAAAATACTAATCAATCTTCTTTATTTTTTTTAATATCACATATACATTTTGTTCACTTATTGGTTGATACATTTTTCATTATAAAAACGTTAGTATTGGATGATGACAGGAACATAACCCTAGACAATGGAATCTAGATCTGAGACAAATGACCTCGTTTTGTCTGCTTAATCGCCCAAGGAAATGTTAATCAAATCCACTTTTTTATTTTCTCGAAAGAATGACATATATGTCTGTTGAAAACTGATTTGGTAAATTTACAGGCATGTACCAAGGCCTCTTATACACACAATGAAGGAGACACCATCTCACTGGCATAATTTTTATCTATAGTTATGATGTAATAAATACTGTCTACCACCACCTGCTTGTCCGTCATATGTTGTCGTTGTTTGATAATGAAATGTTACTGAAAATGTACATATATAACTCATTCACCTCTTAAGACACATTTGAATATAATTTCAGGGGCGAATGAGTTAAGTGGTATTCAAATTTAAGCAATGCCCTAATATATGATTGCACTAAATGAAACTTCTGTTTATATTTTTCAATTGTATATGATTTAAGTGTCTTATTCATCAAAAGGGCGCTTATTATATGTTAAAAATTGGTACATGTACCACGCAAAAATATTCTGTCCGCTAAAATAACTACTCCTACAGTATATAGGAGGTTTTCTGTTTCATAAGCAGGGAACATTGGCGGAGCGGCACTTCGGGAAAGCTAACTGTTGTAAAACTGAAGTCATAACGTTCGTTGTAAAGCTTGGAAGCGAGGTTACCGTTATTGCTATACACATGTACTCTCGAGGTACAATTAAGCCGATATGTGATGTCGTCTTAAATTTCAAGTTTCGGAAGATAAAGGAGGTGTCAAAATTCTTGTTATAGAAGTGAAAGCAATCATCAATCATACTTACATATAGGGCTGGTTGACCATTGACATATAGGGCTGGTTGACTATTGACATATAGGGTTGGTTGACCATTGACATACAGGGCTGGTTGACCATTGAAATATAGGGCTGGTTGACCATTGACATATAGGGCTGGTTGACCATTGACATATAGGGCTGGTTGACCATTGACATATAATATTTTCAGAATTCTGATCACCTTTTTCCCTGAAATTTGAAGAGTCAAAACAAATGTAATTTCAAACACAAGATTAAACACTCTTTTTATGGAGTGAAAAATCATACTCCCTAGGCGCTACTGAAAGCAGTGCTTGTATAAATATATGAATTTAATCTGACAGATGCAGCATTCCTTCATTCACAGCTCTTTCATCACTTCAGCTTCATTGGAAGTATAAAACAGAAGTGCTCGAATTAATACAATAATGTTTTCTTGCTCGCAGCATCAATAATGTTCTCGGTGATGAAATGTTATGCGGACAACCACTTCTTTAATGATGTTTACTTGCTGGCAGTATCAAAACTTTCTATTGATAGAAGATATTTGTGAATGGATTGATATATGACATATCAAATCTTTAAAAAGTGATTTTGGTTTCAGCAGGATATGAACAGTATACAATCGGATAGAATTCAAGCATTTTGACAAGTATTCAAGACCGAGATTCAAGATTCCCAACAATTTTACAAAATCCCATCAAAGTTGCTGTTAGTCTGTATGGGGGATTGTGTAATTAAGAGACCAAACAACTTGGGAACGGTGAATATGCATTAGTATGTGTTGAACAAATGAGGGATCCTTCATATAGTGTTGTTTGTAGAACGTCTTGTGCAAATTGGGAATAGCTGATCTGTATCAATGGTGGATTGCAGAGTGCAAAAGTTAGGTCACTGTTACCTATGACTTAACCTTTGACCTTCACGTTGGAAAATGTTTTTCAGTGGAACATCTTCTATTCTATTTCACCTGGAGAAACCAGATTTGATGTACAAGGACATCTTGGAATGGCGGAGTGCAGAGTGCAAGAGTTTGGTCACTATGAAGTATGACTAATTGACCTTTGACCTTAAAGTTTTAAAAAGTTTGTCTGGGACACATCTTCTATACTATTTCACCTGGAGAAACTAGATTTGACGTACATGGACATCTTGGGATGGCAGAGTGCAGGATGCAAGAATTAGGTCACTATGAAATATGACTTGACATTCCAGTTTTGAAAAGTTTGTCCGGCACATTTACCAGATTTGGTGTACAAGGACATCTTGAAATGGCGGAGTGCAAGAAGTAGGTCACTATGTCCTCACTGTGACCTATGCTTCCTGACATAAGTGTACTCTTAGTTAAATATAGAAATCATTACTGGTGTGGGACTATGGATTGTCTTGCAATACTTTTCCTTGTTAGGTCACTACCCAGATCTTTCACACTACTTTTGCATTACATGTATAGTTCAAGTTACCTTTGTTACAAAAGTATTTCTTTTTCATTTGGCAACATCAATAACATCAGTTTTTACATAACTCAGGTGACCGTTAAGGCCCATGGGCGTCTTGCTTATTTATACCCCATAAACCTCAACAAAATGGGATTCTATCCTTTTATTTACATTCAGAGCGATATTGATATTTGTTGGGATAATTTCTAAAATATCGGTCTTGTGCAAGTCTAACACTACGGAAGGTATCAAAACTGATGACGTCATCACTCACTGTGAGACGTCGTCTTGGTAAGATGAATAAGCAAATTAAGATGTAAATTATTTTTTGATTTCAATCAGGGACAGTATATAGAGTTCACTATACGTCCCTGTTTCAATTGAATACTTCTGACAAAAAAATATTGAAAACAATCTATGAATGTATCTACTTCCCGCGCTCCGCGGAACAACAGAATATTCATACGCCAACTGAAAAGTTCATTGAAAAATAACCTTTAACATTTTAAGTAGGTACATGTATATTGAGTCCAAGTTCAGAAGAAATGTAAATATTATTTAATCAAGTTAACAATCTATATACGTACACTGTTCAATAGTAATAAATACATATTTTTTTTAGTTGAAATACCACAATAGCATTGATTTTGTCAAAAAAGGCAACAAATCTTGTAAAAACTAACGGAATCACAAGGAAAGTGTGTTTGGATCATATTCCTGTGATAACAAAGCAGGTTATTTGATAAGGATGTTTCAACAATGAAACGCAAGAAATTTGCATTATCAGTCGAAAAGGGGTTACATGTCATATTTTAGAACAAGCCATATGTTCTTAGTTCCTCATCAGACACGTTATTTAGCCAAACCCAGGTCTTTAAAACATGATCAGCTTACACGGTTGCATACTCTTTTTGAGACTGATATTATTTTTCAGAATCCCCCCCCCCCCAAAAAAAATCAAAACAAAATCCTGTTGTATGTCCATTTTATCCTTATACATTCAGTTTATATTATGGTTATATGGCTATAGCTAGGACTTTGAATGTTTTAGATGGACGATTTCATTTGTTAGCGATGAAGTTAAAACTGCATCATACTGCAGTCAATTGCAAGCAGACGTGACGTTACATAAAGCTAACACTGATGATTTTAAATATGTTTAGTTTACTAAAGCTACTCTTTGGTGACAGCTCAGCAGGCTTTACTTACACCGTATTATTATATACTGATTGTTTACCGATCCATCTGTAATATCCTCTGCACGGCAAAGGACACCAAATGGAAAGGGAAGGCCACATGCACACGTTTTCTGGGATCCGCTCTATCAGGGAGCATTCTTTTGTATAGATTTCGGTAAGTTAATATTGATTTATTAAGTAATATAATATTGTGAAAAGTTTTTGAAAATTGATAAGTGGTGGTGATTTCGTGTGATCGCCTTTATCCAGCGGTACAGATTGAACAAAAATTTCAATAACAATTGCTATCATGGTTTATAAAAAAAGGTTGACGATTTACGGTGTTACATTACTACATGGTTTTACACAAACATCTCACAACATCTGTATTTTTTGTCAGGATTATAAATCAAAACCGCTTACAGCTATTCTAGAATGTTTCAGATATTATTTCTTACATCCTTGTGTAATGTCGCACGAAATCGAAGTTATAGACTCTGTGTAGTAATGATCTTCATTCAAACACTTTACCTCATCAGGCTCTACCCGTGCTGTGTAGTATCTTACTGATCTTCATTCTAACAAGTTACCTCATCAGGCTCTACCCGTGTTGTGTAGTATCTTACTGATCTTCATTCTAACACGTTACCTCATCAGGCTCTACCCGTGCTGTGTAGTATCTTACTGATCTTCATTCTAACACGTTACCTCATCAGGCTCTACCCGTGTTGTGTAGTATCTTACTGATCTTCATTCTAACACGTTACCTCATCAGGCTCTACCCGTGTTGTGTAGTATCTTACTGATCTTCATTCTAACACGTTACCTCATCAGGCTCTACCCGTGTTGTGTAGTATCTTACTGATCTTCATTCTAACACGTTACCTCATCAGGCTCTACCCGTGTTGTGTAGTATCTTACTGATCTTCATTCTAACACGTTACCTCATCAGGCTCTACCCGTGTTGTGTAGTATCTTACTGATCTTCATTCTAACACGTTACCTCATCAGGCTCTACCCGTGTTGTGTAGTATCTTACTGATCTTCATTCTAACACGTTACCTCATCAGGCTCTACCCGTGTTGTGTAGTATCTTACTGATCTTCATTCTAACACGTTACCTCATCAGGCTCTACCCGTGTTGTGTAGTATCTTACTGATCTTCATTCTAACACGTTACCTCATCAGGCTCTACCCGTGTTGTGTAGTATCTTACTGATCTTCATTCTAACACGTTACCTCATCAGGCTCTACCCGTGTTGTGTAGTATCTTACTGATCTTCATTCTAACACGTTACCTCATCAGGCTCTACCCGTGTTGTGTAGTATCTTACTGATCTTCATTCTAACACGTTACCTCATCAGGCTCTACCCGTGTTGTGTAGTATCTTACTGATCTTCATTCTAACACGTTACCTCATCAGGCTCTACCCGTGTTGTGTAGTATCTTACTGATCTTCATTCTAACACGTTACCTCATCAGGCTCTACCCGTGTTGTGTAGTATCTTACTGATCTTCATTCTAACACGTTACCTCATCAGGCTCTACCCGTGTTGTGTAGTATCTTACTGATCTTCATTCTAACACGTTACCTCATCAGGCTCTACCCGTGTTGTGTAGTATCTTACTGATCTTCATTCTAACACGTTACCTCATCAGGCTCTACCCGTGTTGTGTAGTATCTTACTGATCTTCATTCTAACACGTTACCTCATCAGGCTCTACCCGTGTTGTGTAGTATCTTACTGATCTTCATTCTAACACGTTACCTCATCAGGCTCTACCCGTGTTGTGTAGTATCTTACTGATCTTCATTCTAACACGTTACCTCATCAGGCTCTACCCGTGTTGTGTAGTATCTTACTGATCTTCATTCTAACACGTTACCTCATCAGGCTCTACCCGTGTTGTGTAGTATCTTACTGATCTTCATTCTAACACGTTACCTCATCAGGCTCTACCCGTGTTGTGTAGTATCTTACTGATCTTCATTCTAACACGTTACCTCATCAGGCTCTACCCGTGTTGTGTAGTATCTTACTGATCTTCATTCTAACACGTTACCTCATCAGGCTCTACCCGTGTTGTGTAGTATCTTACTGATCTTCATTCTAACACGTTACCTCATCAGGCTCTACCCGTGTTGTGTAGTATCTTACTGATCTTCATTCTAACACGTTACCTCATCAGGCTCTACCCGTGTTGTGTAGTATCTTACTGATCTTCATTCTAACACGTTACCTCATCAGGCTCTACCCGTGTTGTGTAGTATCTTACTGATCTTCATTCTAACACGTTACCTCATCAGGCTCTACCCGTGTTGTGTAGTATCTTACTGATCTTCATTCTAACACGTTACCTCATCAGGCTCTACCCGTGTTGTGTAGTATCTTACTGATCTTCATTCTAACACGTTACCTCATCAGGCTCTACCCGTGTTGTGTAGTATCTTACTGATCTTCATTCTAACACGTTACCTCATCAGGCTCTTCCCGTACTGTGTAGTATCTTACTGATCTTCATTCTAACACGTTACCTCATCAGGCTCTACCAGTTTATATTTATTAAAAAATAGAGAGATAATTGTTCTTTATTGAGTTAACCTTGTGTAGTATCTTACTGAACTTCATTCTAACACGTTACCTCGGCAGGCTCTTCCCGTACTGTGTAGTATCTTACTGATCTTCATTCTAACACGTTACCTCATCAGGCTCTACCAGTTTATATTTATTAAAAAATAGAGAGATAATTGTTCTTTATTGAGTTAACCTCTTTTAAATCCTCGTCAGGGCATGAAAGAGGAGGACGAGCTAGGTGGCTCTGATCTCCTGGTTATTTCCTTTTGTATATGCTTATCATTATGTACATTTTGTTAGAGGCAAGTATTGTGTTTAGGCATTAAGTTAAGAATAAACATACTACACACACGTGATATTACACAAAGATGTATGTACTGTGACAGATATGTTCCTAATCTGATCCTTCAAAACATTTAACAGTAGTTGTTCACCGTATCATATATTTTTTTATTGTACCCGTGTCTTCATCTTAATATCACGACTTCAATCTGTTAGTTTCTGATGAGACATCATGACGGGTGTCACATGTGGTAACGGGAGACATCATGACGGGTGTCACACGTGGTGATGGCAGACATCATGACGGGTGCCACATTTGGTGACGGGAGACATAATGACGGGTGTCACATGTGGTGACGGGTGTCACACGTGGTGACAGGGGACATAATGACGGGTGTCACATGTGGTGACGGGAGACATAATGACGGGTGCCACATGTGGTGACGAGTGCCACATTTGGTGACGGGAGACATAATGACGGGTGTCACATGTGGTGACGGGTGTCACATGTGGTGACAGGGGACATAATGACGGGTGTCACATGTGGTGACGGGAGACATAATGACGGGTGCCACATGTGGTGACGGGTGCCATACGTGGGGACGGGAGACATCATGACGGGTGCCACATGCGGTTACGGGAGACATCATGACGGCTGGCACATGTGGTGACGGGAGACATCATAACGTTTGCCAAACGTGGTGACGGGAGACATCATGACGTGTGCCATACGTGGTGACGGGAGACATCATGACGGGTGCCACATGTGGTGACGGGAGACACCATAATGGGTGCCAAACGTGGTGATGGGATACATCATGACGGGCGCCACATGTGGTGACGGGATATATCATTACGGATGCAGGTAACGAACACACTATTTCTTCTAACATTATTTATTGCTGCTTGTGATGCATTTCCTTTCAATGTAATGACTCTTCGTGGGGTGTTTCTAATTCGTCTTAGGTTTTCGTCGTTGTTTACTGTATTTCAAATTACACATCAAACAACTGTTTGCCTTTGATATACAATATCATACTTGGCATCAATATATTTAATAGCAAAGTGGTAATTATGCAGCATGGGTATACTTCAACGAACGCCTATGTTCCTCTGGGCAGCCAAGTTACCCCCCATTCAACGCTTATGTTCCTCTGGGCGGCCAAGTTACATCCCCCACCCCATTCCAACGCTTAAGTTCCTTTTGGCAGCAACGTTACCCCCCATCCAACGCTGTTCCTCTGGGCAGACTGTTCCTCTGGGCAGTCAACTTACCCTCATCCAAGGCTGGTATTCTTCGTTGGTAATGATCAAGGAACAAACTGTTTAGGGACCCGTCATCAAAATCGCATGTGACCCACGGAAGGGAGATAAACATCGTTTTATTGTGTTAACAACTTCTACAACTGTAGGGTCAATCTCCAACTAAAATGGTGTACCGTCCTCACCGTTCACCTTTCATATTGTTAAACACGACTGCCGCTGTTGCATGCAATTATGACGATTAACTGTAGATCTTCCTGCACCGTGAAACCGGCTTTTTTTTCAAATGTAAAAATTAGTACTACATACTAGTCATTTGTAACTTTATTATTTTACTAAATAATTCAGCTAGATTCTACATATGAATGGGTTAGGATAGAAGAAATATTATTTAAAAATGATTTTTGAAGTAACTTTGTTTTCAGAATATCTTAAAAATGATTTTTGGACATGGTCTTTTCATACATGTATAGTTATGAGATAAATATGAGATAATAATCAAATTTTGTATATTATAATTATTTTTTATTTATAGATATACAGTTGTTGTGTATAATATTTGACTTCGCCGAGTGATGTTTATATGTTGTTATCTTATGTTGGTTGTAATATATGTACTACAAAAACTCGGTCGGAGTGCACTTGTCTGGCATAAAAAAAAGATAGAGATAGGCGAAGTCTAGTAATGTATGCTGATAAAATGTACAATATAGGTACAGGTATATGTTAATGACTCATTTCTATCTATTTCTTCTTCTTCTTAAACTTACCATAATGATACAGCCAGTCTTCAGGCCATGCAATGCAGTCTTGTTTTTAACCAATGAAGAAAGAACTCCTTTTTGGCTGGAAGCCGTTGGTCGTTATCGCCTTATCAAACCGTCGAGTTGGGTCCCATTTTAGTGCCCTTTTATGCTAATAGTACAGTCACGTCGTTATTCCGTTACGACGGGCTATGAAGACAATGTTTTAAAAAAATACAATATGTATAAAAACAGTATTACATAAATATGTGTTCATCTGTGATATCTTGACTGAAGCCGTTGCGATATA